GATACAAAATAAAAAGGGAGTAACCATTGAGGTGTTACCGGAGGAGGATTTCAACGGGGACAATGAAGCGTTGGTTGCGGAATGTGCCAAATTCCAAATGCTCAGAGAACAGGCACGAGTGTTTCAGGAGGGCGGGTTTGTTCCGACAGTACTCAGTAAAGAGTGATTAATGCCCAACCTCGCGGTATTGACACCGAAGAGGAGGGGGAGGAGTAAGAGGAGTAGCCGGGATTACCTGTAGCGAGGGATTAGGAAAGGAGGGAAAGCAGGATGTGTAGAACAATCGCGAGTGCTAAAGCAGATAGTGGAGGATTTGTTCTTCTCCGTATTCATTATTGGAGTTAGTTAATATATTTAAATAGCATATCATTCGAGTATTAGGTGGAGTATCACGGTGTTGAATAGACCAATGCTATCGGTGCAGTTGTGTGTGCTATGGAGGCAGTAGAGATCGTCTTCGGCATGATGTTTTGGTAATCTCATTGGGGGATTTTGAATCCTATAGCCTGGTACCGTAGAGAAGTGTAATCCAGGAGAGAATGGGGTACTGACATATAGGAACCGGTACATCATACGTGACTCAGATTTCAAAGCACCTGATCTGGCAAATTCAGGAGGCGTCATGTTAAGGAAAATGGCTAGTGCTAAGCGATAATTCTGTAGCGTTTAAACTGATGATATTGTAAACCGGATTCCCTTGACTTGATGGTTGATGATACCCTCAAGTCTCCGGAGAATCAAGCCCTATTTATACATGTTGGAACCTATGCCAAGGCCCGCTTTCTAATACTAACTGATACAACGATAATAGAATAAGATAACGTTCCCGAAGATAACCCAGATAGAAAAGCGCCCCCGCATAGTCCCGTCCTCCATTCTAATTCCGACACGTAACCATGAACCTTGCAATTGCCAGTCATCGGGCTGTACCATACTATTATCCTAGACCTACTTCCCTAAGTAGAACAGCCTACAGCCGTAAGCCCCGCTTCCTATTCTATTCCGGGTGAGACACCCAATAGTAAGCGTGCCGTCATAATAGTATAACACTAGTGTGGTAACATCGCATGCTCCCACACTACCCGATACTTTTCTATGCTTGTCCTTTCGTTACCCGACCGTCCTCGCATCACAACCCGTCACTCGTATTCCTCATTGTCCTAAGCCTCTAGAACAGTGTTCCGTAGTTCCTGTAACACGTCAGGGCAATAAATCTATCCCAGGGCCAACCGAAGAAGTTGAGAGTAATACAGGAGTAGTAAGGATAAACAAGCAGGCAACTAGCATACCCTCTGCATATTAGTCTAAAGAGCGCAAATCAATCCAATTATATAAGCATGATTACAACTGAAACCATATATGATTGACAGGAACCGGATATTATAGTTTAACGTATTAGATTGCATCAGCAAGCTACCGTGTGTCCCCGGAGACTTCTACTTGTCTCTAGAGACAGCTGCTGAGGTGGATTGTCTCCTCAAATCTCCCGTGGATCCTCGTTTCTCGCTTACTCCCTTGAACCTCAGGAGTTGCCCTGTTTTCTCTGGATGCTCTACAGGGATATTATCCAAAACCTCCACCGAATACCGAACACCTGTACCAGAGTCAGTTGGCGGTTCAGATAGAACGTTGTCAGAATACAAACTAATGATTAAACACACCGGGGAGCGTTTCAATTGTTCTATACTGCTTGAGGAGCCTTGGCCACAACTAGAATGTCTTATAGTTAATATTTGAAGATTTTGGCCAGAAGCAAACAATCCTTTTAATACAACTTGAAATCTGACTGAAAGTTCTAGAACATACGTGAATACGTTTAAAGCCTTCTATAAGGTTTTGGGAGACCTTGCTTGTGCGACTAGGTTTAAATTGTATTATATAAGTGAGATTACACCTTATTTATGCTATCAAAGACCATATGGCGAAGGGTATCCTTTATGGTATGAATGTGCTTCTTACAGGTGATAAATGGGCCAACAAAGTCAATTATTAACTCGAAAAGAACCGTTTCATAAGTGACACTGACAACTATACGGTAAAGATTTTTTGTTTTCGGTTAGCATTTTAGAATGCTCCAATGGACTTCAGACAGGCAGTTGGCAATTACAGGTTCCGGAAATCCTGTACGTGATATTTCTGAAGTATTACAAAGAGGAAAAGATGCGTGGTACATAGAATCCTCATTTCGTCGATGGTATATATCCGGAATTCATATACATGGTCTGCCCTGGGATCTGGTTTGTCCTCTGATTTTGTACAACTGGATATTACGTAGAAGGTTTGCACTTCAACATGAGTCAGAATATAAATTATACTCATTTCTGATGGGGTGAACTTAGGGTTAAGGTTAGCCCCCCCCCATCCCCAAAAACACGGAGACCCCTATAGTATGCAGTTCTACGTGCTGTACAGTCCCCTTCACCCACTTCTCCTTTGATATATAGGGGACGTACGGTTGACTTGCTTTTGCCTCCTAGAACAAGCGTCGTGAGACGCTTGCTCTAGGAGGTTAAAGTAACAAGTCAACCGTACGTCCCCTATATATCAAAGGAGAAGTGGGTGAAGGGGACTGTACGGCACGTAGAATTGTAGGGTATTAAAACTAAGCTGCCGTACGGTCGCTTCTTCACACATTATCACTCTAGCTGAGGTGCCGTACAGTCACCTCTTCATACATTATCACTCTAAACCATACTACCGTATGGTCGCTTCTTCACACATTATCACTCTAGCTGAGGTGCCGTACGGTCGCTTCTTCATACATTATCACTCTAAACCATACTACCGTACAGTCACCTCTTCATACATTATCACTCTAAACCATACTACCGTACGGTCGCTTCTTCATACATTGTCACTCTAGCTGTGGTGCCCGGGCCGTACGGTTGCTTCTTCACACATTCTCACTAGCTGAGGTGCTGTACGGTCGCTTCTTCACACATTATCACTAGCTGAGGTGCCGTACGGTGGCTTCTTCATACATTATCACTCTAAACCATACTACCGTACAGTCACCTCTTCATACATTATCACTCTAAACCATACTACCGTACGGTCGCTTCTTCATACATTATCACTCTAGCTATGGTGCCGTACGGTCGCCTATGCAACCAGTATCACTCTGGCTGTGGTGCCGTACGGTTGCGAATGCAACCACTATTACTCTGGCTGAGGTGCCGTACGGCCGCTTCTTCATACACTGTCACTCTGGCTGTGGTGCCGTACAGTCACCTCTTCATACATTATCACTCTAAACCAAGCTGCCGTACGGTTGCTTCTTCACACATTGTCACTCTAGCTGAGGTGCCGTACGGTCGCCTATGCAACCAGTATCACTCTGGCTGTGGTGCCGTACGGTCGCCTATGCAACCAGTATCACTCTGGCTGAGGTGCCGTACGGTCGCTTATACTCGCGACAGGCCTAAAGTACCCGAAAATGCAGCTGCAAGGTTTTGTTACCTGCTGCGAGTACAACCACAATCACTCTAGCATTAAGTGAACAGATCCTCACCTGTCAACAGCCCATTTAGTTCACTCACTTAATGCCAGAGCCTTATACAGTACGATGCCAGTCGTGAGCGTCAGGCGCGGCATCGCAACGCCCCCCGAACCATCACGGGTACCAGCACAGCAACCACAATTGATCCTTTGGAGAGCTGAATTTTTGTATAGTTGTTAAATAGTAGATAAATAACAATAATTTGACATTTAATATCTTGTGTACCAACCCACCGTGAAAAGGTTGTGGAAATCTGGTTGCGCGCGCGGCGTTGCGACGCCGCGCCTGACGCTCACGACTGGCATCGTACTGTACCGGGTGTTGAGGGTAAGTGATCAGAATCTGATAAGTGAATGTTACGGTGAATAGGTGTATTTGTCTTATCAGATTCTGATCACTTTTCGCTACACCCTAGTCCATTCGCTTTTTTGGGAGACTGAAACGCCAATCGCTTGGATTACTAGAAAATAACGGGTGATTACTGGTGACCGCCCGTGCTTTACTGATGATCGGATAACTGCAGGAAAATGAAAGTCACAACCCACAATTAAATAAACCCTATTTGATGCACCGGAACTAGAGAAGGAAAGATATGCTTCCGCAGGTCCATAGGAAACCATCAAAAATTCATCGGGATGCAAAGTGTGTGCGTCGTGCTGGGAATATAAAGCTTCATCCACCAACTATACTACACAACCCCAACTAACGCCATGTATCGCTGGCACTACAAAGAAACGCTTACAGACGAAGACTGCTGCGCAATCGAGCGAGGGGTAACGATCGCGCAGGCGTGCCACGATAAAGCCTATGTAGCCGATAAGCCCCGCAAACCGGTGAAAAAGCAAACAACGTTGGATTCTTACTTTAGGACTAAAAGGTTAGACGTGCTTATTATCGCACAGATTACATTTGCTGACTCTGGGGCCGTGTGATCGAAGATGAGTATGTACAGCATCACGGGGGGGTAAGGTTTGGTTGTCACCTAAACATTTTTGCATGGGAATTGGACGCGCCCACGGGGATATGGCAACCACACGACAGTACTGAAATTGATGTAATTGTTCGAGTATATTTACGGATCGGTTGTTTGATGGATTGATTTATCTTTTCGGTTTTATTTAACGTCATCTGGTAATGTATCAAATGATATCCGGCAGCCTGATTGGCCAACAGCGAAAACCCTAGGATAGAGTACTATACACGAAAGGAAGGACTTGTTAAAACCCAATCAGGCTATCATTGTTAATGATGTAATGTTATTCATCGCATACAAAAAAGTAATCATACCAACTCCTAAAAATATATCCCGGAACCATAATACCAAGAAACGTCAAAAAAATAGTAAAGAAAACAAAGAGTAATCATGCCCAACTCTAAATGAAATATCTTAAAAATATAATGCCAATAAGAAACACGAAAAAAAAGAATCATACCCTACCCCCTAAAAATATATCCCAGGACCATAACGCCAATAAGAAACACCAAAAAAAAAACAGCCCCGTCAATCTGCCTCATCTGCCCAACTCAATCGTGCCGGGTAAGACTTAAAACCTTCTCTCAACTCTCTATCCAACTCCTCCGGCGTAAGCCCGCCCTCCACAGCGCTAACAATCCATGACCTCGTCATATCAACTGTTCTCTACCGAGTGTCACAGGTATCAGTACCAATTTGGAAATAACGGCAGTAAAACTTACCCGTAGTTTCACCATACTCGTGATGATGTGTAGCAATTGCCCCAAACCCCCGTTAAGTCCAGCAGGAATAGTAAGTACATCCTCACGTTTGAGCAAGCAGATGTTACCCACAGGGCTGACCATACGAGAATATTGGAATGTAGATGCTGAATTCATGATTCCGATGGCCTGGAGGTGTGGCAAAAACTTTGGGTTATGATTAGCTTGCAGGTGCAGGACGTTCATCATGTCGCGTAGCCCCCTCCCAATCTTGAGCCAATCATCCAAGTATTTTGTCGATGTCTCACCCCCCTTTTCAGACGCTGAAGCCTCAAGCACCACGTATTCAACACAACCTTCACCGATTGAATGGATTATACCGTCGTAATGCCGACCACTTTTACGATAATTTCCCTTGCCAGTTCGTGTTCGGGAACGGTTCTTCCGGATGCCAGTTGCTCGGAGGTGGGTCTCTTTTCGGTCCAGAGTAATACCTGGGATCGACATTATGTAATTATCGATTATTGAGGCCCACACGGAGGACGTAAACCAATCCTCGCAGTGATCACTGGTCAGCGGCCGATTCGGGGATGCATATATGTTTAGCCTACAAAGGATGTTAGAGGATTGCGAAACAGAGTGGGTATATTCGTCATACCTACATGGTGTTCAAGGCCAAGTAGGCGTAGAACTTATTGCCATCGCGCGCATTGTCAAAAGTACCACCCTCTGGAATGTAATGGTTCTTGTGAAGTGTAGCTCTCAGTTCTTCGACAGATCTGACACTGGCAAACTCTCCGAGATAACCCAACAGAACATCGTCCGGTGGAGGCAAACCTGGCATGGCTGCGTTGATTTCATCCAATTCGGGGGGGAGAAAAAGGCGCTTGACATCCTCGTCCCCCAAATCGATAACGAAGGATGGCAAAAGTGATGATTTAGACATGAAATTCGAGTCAGTAGCCATGCAGGCATCATGGATGATATCCTCTACCACACGTTCGGTAGATTTTAGTTTCCATTTCTCCGGGATGTCACGGTAAACGGCCCAAAAGGTCTGCTGCGCTGAGGTTGATTCCGGGCTTGGAGTGCGCGGGCTCGGTGTGTCCTCTAATATGGATTGAAAATCTTCATCAGATTCATGTGCTAGTCGTTGAACAAAATGGCCCTATTGTCAAGCAGTGATGATAAGCATGGGAACAAAAGCGGCAGACAGGAGGTAAAAGCATGCCTCAACGTTTGATGCATTTCTTGGTTCGTTTCCGCAGTTGGTAGAGTGAGCGAGATTGTTGCTGAGCGTGCCACCAACAACACTTTGGTTGAAAGTGATATCACCCGTTACAATAGTGGCACGTCCCGTACTCCTGGATCCTCGAGAATTTCGGGGGGAAAAGTTTTCGGCGAACCACGCGCGAAATAACCGTCTGATCTGTATAGAAAGGTTAGTTGACCGTAAAGTAATCTTTTAAACAGGTGCACGAGAAATACTGCCCGTCCCCACCTCGTACCGTTCCACAGTTGTAACTGGATTGACACAGTAAGCGGGTTAACCAGCACATTCTGTGACGGTAGTCTCAGGCGAGTTAACCACCACATACCGTGGTGGTAGTCTCTAGGCGAGTTAACCATCACATACCGTGATGGTAGTCTCTAGGCGAGTTAACCATCACATACCGTGGTGGTAGTCTCTAGGCGAGTTAACCATCACATACCGTGATGGTAGTCTCTAGGCGAGTTAACCATCACATACCGTGATGGTAGTCTCTAGGCGAGTTAACCACCACATGCCGTGGTGGTAGTCTCAGGGGCGAGTTAACCATCACATACCGTGATGGTAGTCTCTAGGCGAGTTAACCACCACATGCCGTGGTGGTAGTCTCAGGGGCGAGTTAACCATCACATACCGTGATGGTAGTCTCTAGGCGAGTTAACCACCACACCCCCGCGATGGTAGTCTTTCTTGGGGGGGGGGGGGGGGGGGGGTTAACCCTTTCTTTACCACCATCCCTCAAGAGGGCTTTCGCTTTCTCGCATCTCCTAGTCCCCTCCTCCTCCTCGAAGGAACGCAAGGCCATGCCCCATCGATAGGTATTGATGCCATGAAATTTCTGGTTCTTCGAGGGTGGTCGGCTCCGGTCAAGGTATTGTAGTCCATGCTTCGAGGCTTGTCTGCGCTGGGCTGAAAACTCGATATAATGAGCCGGATCCCACTGGTCAACTGGGATGATATCGAAATACTTGGGATTTGGTAGGGGGTATTCTGTAGTGGTGGGGGGGGGGATGTTGGGCTAGTCATGTCGAGGTTTAGAGAGAACGAGAAAAAAGAGGGGGGGAAATGCCCCTTTAAGGGTAATACGAAAGGTGGGTGTCAACCCCTTTGATTACTGATTGGGCCAGTTGCAAACCAAGGCTGACTGTGTAACCTTCCTTGTGTTTTTGCTTTTAATGGGCGCCTCGAGCCTGTTCGGTGTGCTGGCAATCCTTGCTATCCTATTAATATAACGAAACGTTATAATGATTCAGTGGTATGACTCCGCTCCGTACGAGCCCGTATGACTGATATCTCACACGAATGACTAATAGGAAGGACAAAGGAAGATCAGAGCCAAAACAGGCTTTTATGCGCAGACCGGAAATATACCGCGAATGATGGTCCACTCGCTGTGATGGTTCACTCGCCTTTCTCTTGGCAATGATATATCAGGCTATTATTTTACCAATATGAAGGGAACCTCGTAGATCGTAGATTCGCGGTACCTATTCGTTTCTCACCATTGTCTAAATGCTGTCGCAGGTTTATTCGTTGTCTAAAGGTAGGTTGTCGACCAAAAATTAGACAGCGGGTATTTGCCTGTTAGCGAGTGGGAAGAGCCCCCGCTCTCGCTGTACAAGGGTCTGGCATTAAGTAAATGAACAAAATTGGGTGTTGACAGGGGAGAATCAGTTCACTCACTAAATCCCAGAGCCTTGTACTTCGGTGGTAGGGGTAAGTGAGAAGACACCTGGCGGCTCCACTACTACCGAAGTACATGGGCCCGGCAAGAAGAACCTGACCATAGTTTCTCTTGTAGCAACCAATTTGACGGCTGCTAGCGCGTTTCTATGTTCAGGTTCTTCTTGCCAACCCAACTACCATCTCCGCATGTGTGTGCGCGGAAACCCGCGGAGATGCGAGGGTTCCGTTGTAATGACGCGAATATGCAGAATATCCCTGCTATAGCGCATACTCGCGACCAGCAATTACCATTGGAGTAGAAGTCAAAAATACATCAAAGACTTGCAGCTGCATATTCGGGTTCTTGTTGCTGGTCGCGAGTAGAATAGCGCCAGGAGTTTAAAACCTACTCGTAGTTTTTTGGCTGGACTAGGTCTACATACGACCAAAATATTGTTGCCAAGCACGATTTACGCCCATATGCAGACCAGTCCAGTCCGGAAACGTTAGAAAACTGCGAGTACACCCTAAGGCTTTTCACCACAACACAAAGAATTAAAACAAAAACTATATTCTCGTGAAGACGGCCTATGTCTAAATGAATATAGTATTGTTTCTCTAAAAAATATGCATTACTGTTGAGGAGTAAGATATATGTAGTTTAGGGATTTATTGTCGCCAAGTGAAAGTTGGCTTGGCTGTCTCTTTTTTGCCCTGTCCGCCATCACCCAGTAGACTGCGATCTCCCTTCAAGCCTTGCGTCAGGTTCAGAGCTTCCCCGTCTCAGCGATCCAGAAATGGGTGTCATCGACTCATCCCTTCGTCAGAGCAAAATCGGAGACATGTATTCTGTTTGGCTCGATGGCGAGTCAGCTATCGATAAAGATCCCGGCACCGCCAAGGGATTTCGTCAAGTTTATTTGTATCCTTGCGCTTTGGCCTTCTATCCCATGGCCTGGTGAGACATGCAGATTCGGGACCCTCCAAACTAGGCAAGTTTAGACTGTGGCCCAGTGCCTTTGCCTCCGTGGCAGCGAGCTCAGCCATATGTATATCCCATGGCAAAGCCACTAGGCCACAGTCCAAACTTGCCTAGTTTGGAGGTTCCCGAATCTGCATGTCTCACCAGGCCAAGGGATAGTACAGTATTTTAAGACTAAGCCACGTTGCTCTTCACGCCTCATCGTGGCCCTAAGCCTCGCCCCCGCGCCACAGCGCCTCGGAGAAACACAGTTGCACAATCTCTCTGTGGCGTACTGTGGCTTCCGCGCTAAGTCGCCCAAAAAAGATGGTGTGGCCCGTGTGGGGAGGGTTTCCAGCTCTAAATTCGGATTATCTGATTGGTTTCACAGGCTAACTTGAAGTAGTAGTGTATACCACTTGTCGTTAAAATTAGGTCTATCACCACACCGTTTTCGGAACAGAGGATCGGCAGCGCCCCCGAACACGGCCAACACCTTTTTGTATGGTAGACTCCTTCACGGGGGTATGGAGAACTCGAGAAAAATGGACAGAAGCCCTTATTTTGAATAGAGAATCGTATCCATAAGCTTTATTTGTCGTTCTTAGTTGTTGCACCGTACCCCCGTGAGCACCATGCAATATTGGCCGTTGTAGGCTGTCTCGTGTAGGTACAGATATATAAATGGATGCAGTTTGCTTCGCTTCTATATAGATGATCCTGATGATAAACTAATTCCATAGCACGAACGATGATTATATTAAGAGAAGATCTAGCAGAACGAGAACTATACTAAATGTCTGAGCTAAGGACAGGCATCACTAATCACTGATCTAATCTAATCTTATCGGGATCTGATCGTATCTCTAATCCCTACAGCAACCAGTAAGATATCCCGATTCTTATTAGCCTTAATCCCTGCTAGCCAAATGGGTGTATTCGCCAAATGACTGTAAGTCGCTGTAGTTAGCCGACCCTTCGACGTCCGTAGCCGAGATTCTCGGGTGTGACTAACAACAAGAATCAAACGGTGTTGGGCACATTTGCTGTAAAGCGATTTGTCATGTATTAGTCAGTACAGCACGTGATTACGTGGACAATCCTTTGTAAAGGTGTTCACGGCGGAACAACCTTATAGCTAGCTCGCTTTTTCTTTTTTCTTTCCTTCCCTTTTTATCATCCGTCGTTAGTATCGTCAGAGAAGTTTCATTTTGATTTCTCCCTGGCAATAAGATTTTATTTTATTTTGTTATCGAATCGTCGTAAAGCCGAAGACGAAAAGAAACAGAGACTGAACACAAACAAAAGAACCCGGCCCACAACGGGTGTACCGTTAATTCTCGGATAATCCACTATCTCCGTATTTGTATGTGGTAAGTCCGAAGAAGGCGAATTGGCGTATCAAACTTCACGAATTCGTGCAGATACTTATGGCGCGAGAAGGCATAGAGGGTGGGTGTGTCAACTTCAGAGGAATTTCTTTTTGTATGGGAATTAGAGAAATTTCACCGTTTAGGCTACCCACCATAGCTTCTCGAGAGAATTAGCGGTATTCGCTTTCTGGTTCTTAATGCTACACCTATGCGCACCATGCTCTACTCTGAGCAGGCCTCGGCCTACCCCGGTACTCCGACGTTCAATTCACATCCAAATACAAGGAGAAGACACCCAACTCTTTGATTCTCTGATCATTTTCGGTTTTCAGAGTGGGTCAGCTGCAGCAGTGATGTTTTACACCTAATGTCACCTCTCACTAATGCACGAGACCCGCTTACTTTAACCAATGACAGTACTCGTAGTTTTCTAACGTTTCCGAACTGAACTGGGTCTGCATACCACCAAAATCTAGTTGCCAAGCACGATTTACGCCCATATGCAGATCCAGTCCAGTTCGGAAACGTAAAAAAACTACAGTCGCAACTCGATATGCCGGATTGCCAAGATTCGGAGGATTTCGTACGGGATAGCAAAAAATCGGGGATAGCAAATTAATTTTGCAGTAAGAAAATTAAAATCCCAGATGATGTCATACGGGATAGCAAGCGATCCGGTGTATTGAGATCCGGCATATCGAGTTGCGACTGTACAAGTACAGCGATTTCACCGTCAGGTAAGGCGCTAGTATAATTATGGGGGGATAGCTGGGGACACCTATAACCGGAGCACTTTGCGTCCTAACTCCTGACGATAACTCCTCCACCACCACAACACCTAAGATTATTTTGACTCTATGGAATTGTAGAACAGAAGGCAAAGAATCGTTCTATAGGAGGAAAATTAATTCAAATCTTCTGGTTGAGGTGCTAAAGGTATTTGAAGTTGGTGTACCTTTGGTGCAGCGGCCCCCAATGTCGCATCATTTCTTTTGCCTAATCGGGTAATATTCTGGTCTGTCCCTGCCTAGTTGGGATATATGGTGCCCAATCATAAAGGTAGTCAAAAAATTGGGGCGAGGTCGAGGTTGAATAGCTTTGCAACGAAACAAATTATGAGAATTCCGGTCGGTAAAATTGAAGTACTAGTGATGAGAATAATTTTACCGACCAGATTTTTGATATCTCTCCTGGTTAAAAAGTTATTCAAGCTTGAAATTCGGTATTTTAGTATGTAAAAAGCGCCAAGACTGAACAAAGTGGAACAGTATTATACCCATTTATACCCTTAAAATAGCAAACATGTCACCGTTGTTGGGCACATTTGCCGTAAAGCGATTTGTCACGTATTAGTCAGTACAGCATGTGGAAATGTGGACAATCCCTTTGTAAAGGTGTCCGCAGCGGAACGACCTAATAACTAGCTCGCTATCTCCCTGTCTATCATCACATACATCTTGTTGCTCTCGTTTTGTCTTAATCGAAGTTTTATTCATTCTACGTATTTTCGTCTCGGATCGTCGTTGAGAAGAAATAGAAACAGAGAGAGTGAACACAACAGCCGGCCAACACCGTGTCACCTTTAAGAGTGTGCGCGCCATAAATAGCCCAATCTGGGCAAGTACATTAGTTCCCAGGATATTATCTCTCTATCATGGCATTACTAGCCACTTATTTATTATAAGAATTACTCAATACGGTGATTAAACATCCAAAATGAATGTCGCGGACCTCACTCTGGCTCACTGGGGCTTACAATATCATCTACGCGCGGGGAGTCACCACCAATCACTCGTTATTACATCGTCTTGGCAATGTACCTAAAAGATAAGCTTGAACCTCTAGCTACACAATCTACACTGAACATCTCAACCGGAAAGCATAGATCATCGCGAGTATGCAGAGAGTCCCGCTGTTATCCCTTAAACTGTTATGAAAATGCCGACCACCAAAAAGCGGATTCACCGTCACTTTCCTAATAGACCCCGCTATCTCTTTTATCAGATAATAGATGTACTTTGATAGGACTCAGCACTATTAAGAAACGTGTTTAAAGCGGTGTACTACCGCCAAAACTCGAAAAATTGGCTATTACCAATTGAATGATTGGTTGAATGGCATCGATCTGCACCAGAAGTTTCCCATACAAGTAATTTTATGGCGGTACTCTTAAAGGTGACATGACGACGTGGAACAATTGTGGCGGCAATATGGGGCCATTTTGCTGCACCACTGCCAGCTCCATTTTCCGACAACTTGATTGGTGCCGATCACATGACCAACAAATCAGATAATCAGAATATAGAGCTGGCTCTATTTGCGCAAAGTCTCTAACTTCACAACTACTTGTTTACCACGAAAAGAGCCAGAAAATGCAAGTGACAGAAACAGTAATGATTTATATAAGAGACCACCGCCACTCCATACAAGTTATCCCTGTTGCATTTTTTGGTTCTTTTCGGGGGGGGGAACTGGTTGTGATACCGAGCAGAGAGGGCCAAGAAATATTTGTGTGCTCGCCTCTTAGCCATCGACCTCGCTTCACTTTCCGCTTACCTTTAAGAGTGGGCGCACCATACATGCTGATATTTTCGAACACGACCACTATTGCATACTATATAAAAAGCGCGGGCCATGTCCACCTTTTGTATGTCATGCAATATTGGTCGTGTTCGGAAACAGTGAAATTACTCTTGTGAAGATCTGGCTCTGCAAACGGTAGTACAGTCGCTCACGGCGCATCCTGTCTGATGGTTGTTGCCGTAGTAATATATCCTTGGCGCCCCGGGCTTAACTCTGCTATTGGCCTCAAATCCCTGAGGTCCGCCATCAGACAGGATCCGCCTTCACCCGTGAGTGACTCTAGCCTCATTAGGAGGGTCATACCGATTGATAGCCTAGAGTCGATCTGAGCCGACAATACTCCAGCTCCAAATTCCGGTAACCTGATTGGCGCCGATCTCCCATCAACCAATCATACAAGTAGAATTTAGAGACGGCTCTGAAAATGCAAGTAGGTATGGAGAATTGTCTAAATTATCCTTGAGAGATAATACTATCCTCTCGCACTAACATTTAGATATTCGATTGTCAACACCAACATCGTTCGAAATTCAGGCCTCGACACATTTTCGTGATATCTTTTTCAATCTCCCCTATGGATGTTGCTATAAGTATGTTCACCACTAGCTTTACAAGTCGCAGGAAGCTAAATAAAATTGCCTATATCTACTCCCGGCCAAATGAAAGCAGTTTCGCATCTAGGCGCAACGGCTTCCTGCCGACAGGCGAGGCGGTAGCGTCTTTGCATACCCTGGTCCGAGTTTGTCTATAGGCAATGAATCTTCTAACAAACATATCTTCGTCGTTGATATTCCAGTCATAATCGATTGGACACAATAATTTACAATGCCGAGATTGCTCGAGGATGGTGATGATGGGTGAGAACCCTCCTCCCTTCCGCTTTATGTATAACGTTTCTACCAGAATAAAAGGCGTATGATGGCATGTTTGCCTGTGAATTTAGTTTTCAGAAGCCTCTGAAATATCCCCATACAGTGATGGAACGGTGGCACTGACGAAATCTCTAGCTCGCTCAGTGAAGTCCCCAGTATTCCCCATGACGAATTGGTCCCAGCAGGAAGAAGGTAATGATGCTTCCTCGATTTGGCGTGAGTTTGTTGACTGATAAAGCCAAGCAGCTCGCAGCGTCCGGAGGTCTCCTCTCGCCTAGGCCAGCATCGTCAGCCGAGTGATGATGGCTGGGTCCCAGCCCGAAGAAGGTAACGATACTCCCTTGATTCGGTGTGAGCTTGCTCATTGATAACATCTAACCAGGTCACGACGTCCGGAAGTCTCTTCTCACCGACGCCAGCATCCTCAACGGAGTGTGGAAAAGGACACAGACGATCTGGTGATTCCAGGAATGGAACCTATATCCCAGCTTATTCGTCGGAGGCTGCTCGGGCGTGTGGTTTCAAGGGATCCTGCGTTTTTCGAAACCCGCCAGGAAAGACAGAGAGCAAGGGACGTTGAAAACATCTCCAACACATCCGCGCAAGAGGTCGACCCTACTGAAGCCGAAGTTGTGAGAACTCTCAACTCCATTACACTTGATGGGCATGGGGACACGGAAGGCGAATGGACCGAAGGCGAATGGACCGAAGGCGAAGGGACCGAAGGCGAAGGGACAGGGGGCGAGGGGACAGAAGGCGAAGAAACAGAAGGCGAAGAAACAGAAGATCCTGACGATGATGAGGACGAGGAAGAATTTGGATTCTTGCCGGTTGTTGGACAGGCTCTGGATGAACCTGTATCGAACAATGCGCGTTACGAGGTAGAGGTTGATGAAGACATCGTCACGCATACATCACAAACTGTCAAGGAATATGTGTCAGATATGAAGATTTGCGAGCCGGGGGTCGCCTACACCATGGCAGCTAGGCTTTTGAACACCAAAGGTTCACTTGATTGGGCTGCCGAAAACATTGAGTTTACAGAGGAAGGAGACATGAGGGATAATATTCTTAATATCCACCATCTCGATTTTCTAAGCATCGATGCGATGCCCAATACCAATATCGGAGGGGATGAGCGGGGGAATCTCTCAAACGGAAAACTGTCCTTTTGCCAATGGCATAAGCCGTATCAGAGTTATCGAGCGTCCACCGCCGAGCACTCTTTCTTTCGTCGAACAATGCGCATCGCAGAGGTCGATAATCAAGAGATATTCATCGTGATGAGGCCAAAACCGGACGAGCAGGCTCTCGACATAGACAATCACACTTTCACTGCCAGTCAGGCGCTAAGACGGTCAGCAATGAGTCGACCGCATGCCCAGCAGCTATTGATATATATCTGCAATATCATGATGACGACTCGGCGGCTTAGCAGGCACGGAGTCACCATGACTTGGAAGTTAGGGGGTTTAAACACTGCCGATATGGATAGAAAGGATTGGCGGATCCTTTACTCCAAGATGGTTGAGAGGTGGCCGGAGTTTCTCGCGGCTTGTCCAGAGCATTACTGGATACGTCAAGAGATAACACTCCATATTTACGAGATTGGCCAGGACGTCTGCATCCGATCGAGGGATTGTTCCGATGGCACCCTAGCTTATTCACTTTCAAGAATGTACGATGCTGGCTCAGTCTCGACGTTCATATATGCCTTAGCCACCAATGTGTCTATTGAAAGTGCAACTACTGATGAGGGTGATGGTACCACAAGCTATGAAGCGAAGTCCACTCTTTTCGACACCAAGGAGGTCACCCGGGACTACCTCAATGTACGCGGAGCTGGGTTGAGAATCTTTCCAATGGCGTTTAGTCCATCAGTTTGTAGCTTTCAGGCATTGAAAGCCCCACAAACCTATCAGTCCGCTGTCATTGACCCAATAAACCGTCATCTCCGTGAGGAGAATCTAATGGACGACAACGACGACGACGAGGAGCCAGATTCGGCAGTAGTGAAGGTTGTACTCTTCCAGGGATACAGCATGTTGAAGCAATACTGCCGCCACAGGCCAAACGAATTCCTCCTGGGCCTAGGTACCTACACCCCCCCCCTCTCTCCCTCTCTTGTTTAACTCACTAATTGTATTAGGTACCTATACCTGCACTCTTTGCGCACCCGAAAAGCTTGGCAAGGTACACACGGATAAACAGACTAAGTATTTCCATGGCGTGTCCGCCGGTGCACCGTTCACGGCATTTGATAACGGCATCGTCAACGCAGTAGCGAACGGAAGAGTCGGTTCCCGTTTTGAGCCTGTTATCAGTGTTGATTTCCAGGCGCTGAAAGAGGAGAATCGAACGTGGGACTACATATGTGAGCACATCATACGACCTACACTACTGTGGACGGGCCGCGCGAGGGCTTTGTATGGGACATGGATGCGGCTCTACGAGCCATCGGTGTTTCCCGCGATTCTTCGGGATATGTCTTATATATTTCGAATTCTACTGGACGGATTGATCGCTTTGTGGGTGAAAAATAAGAAGCAATCGGGGCTCATTGCGGCCGAAGCTATCGCCACCGTGGAGCGGCTCGCCATCTTTATGTTTACCGGCAATCGTTCTCACATACCTACTCGTGTATGGCAATACATCGGCCTTCAACAAAATCTCGATAATTTTGCCTGGCCATTTCTTCTTCCGGGGAAGATTGATCTTCGTGCAATTCCCAAGCCGGAATCGCGGACAGCGAACTGGTGTAGGGATGTTCATAATAGAACATTGATCCTTTCGCACCTGGCTAGCGTTAAGTTTCATTTCGGCGATGCAGCTGCTGCGCGGCGGGAGATTTCAATGTCCATGCTATCAGCTGAAGAGATAATCTCCACTGATACTGCGACAACTATGCTGCGACAGGCCATAAGAAAGTAAGTTAGCGTATCCTTATTTCTAATAAGAGCGGGACTAACGGTGTAAGATTCATGGTTCCACAACTACAGGAAGTCGTTTTGAAATCTCTGCGAGAGCAGCATAGCACCATGTGCTCAATCTCTGCCGCTGCCGCAATCGGGTCGACACCAGAAGATTTAGCGCTAGCATCAGTAGAAGTTACCAATAGGGAGAATTTGCTAGAAACTTTCGGCACCTCCGAGCACCCCTTTGAAAAGTCCTTAATGCATCAAGTCATCGATCGGTTTTATCAGAGATCGCACGATCGGCCATGGAAAGACCCCATTGTTCCTTTCCCGGCGTCGGAGTTGGATATCATCCAGCCATTGGACCTAGCGTCAATGATCATGTCCTGGAATCCTGATACCTCTCGATGTATACCGTTAGCCCCGTCCACACGATATATACGATGCGGCCCACTTAGTCTTTCTAAGAAGGGCATGTCGTGGGTCGACACAATGTTCGAAACCATGCGGGCCGGCAGTTTGTTGACGGTAAATCAGTGGTTGGAAGCATTGAGGTCAGCACTTAGGTGGGAGTGTATTGAGATCATCCCGGGACCGTATAACGGTTGCCTATCAGGCCGCCGATTCACCAGGGTTTTGGAGTACACCGGGTTTAATACGAATAAGAAGCGTGCGCGGCGGGAGACTCCTGCGGAGGCTATGGAAAGTGCGGTAAAACGCCTGCGGACCGTGACACGTCTCCCTCTTTCAGTGCCACTAGAGGAAACACCCGCGGACTATGCGAGCGGTATGCGTGTAGTGTTGCAGAGATACGACAAATCAACTTCCGATCCAGAGGGTGTACCCGGAGCGCACATATCAGCGTTCTTGCGACGTGCTGCGGCAGCATTGGACCTTGATGAGCCCTCTCATAATCTCTGCCTGCTGATTGGTTACGTTTTAAGCCGAAATACACCTCCGCCAATTGCTACTTGTTACAGTCGGTTGAGCCCGGAACGCTTCGTCTTGGCCGATGGGACCAAGCTTGGGACCCCGCGGGATCAATGGTACTTTATATTTATGATCCGCTGTTTGATGTGGCTTTGTCCCGAAGTAAATCGTGAGGAGCCTGGGCATTGCCCAGCCAGAATTGTCTTGAAAATATTTGGTATGTGATTCCTAGAACCCTCTCCTGGATTTAATTCATAAATAGAACAAAACAGAACACAAGAAGGTCAACAATCGTTTGTTGGAAGGTCTCAAGATTTGCGTTCGGACTAATGGCCATCGGCTTTGGCCCAAATCCAGTGAAATGAAGCTCAACACGGAAGCTTATTTCTTGCAGACGATGACTGAGGCCACTGCTGCGTCGAAGATTGGCGCGAAGAGGGTCATGCAAATGTGGTTGCCACCAGCCATGGTTGATAGGGCAGTGGCGTTGCTTGAAAGCGGAAGCAGTGAGGAGGGAAACTATTAGCTTATTTATGTTTACATATTCTTCTCTTTGTGGTCTATTCTTCCTCGGGCATTCATATATACAATATAGGCTTACCTGGACTTTATCCCTGTATCCGGTGATTTTAATATCCTAAACCCACAACGACGCCTGACTTCGTGTCCAGCACAATATTTTGTGACAGCTTTAACGAAGCCGAAGGGCCCCTATGGAAGCCCCTCCAGAGAAGTTCATAGATCAACTCGTACTCATTCGTGTAGACATTCATAATACAGATAGGGCCTGACGGTCCTGGTTAGATTTTTCGTACCCTGCTTTGCTTACTCACCTACGATCACGTGGTGCACGCAAGTTTGTTTTCATAGTGGTGTACCCAAGTTTGCTTTCATCCCCCATCTTAACTCATTAATTGCATGCAGACCGTAGTCTATGGCAATTCCATCCCCCATCTAGATCCTCACTAATTGATACCTTTCATCATCCATTTACCTCACCAAACTTCATCGACGAAGGATGCCTCCTAGGACGAAACCCAGACCGCGATTGCCCCCGAAGGGTCCACCAAAGAGGAAGCGCTGTGAAGACTCGCAAAGCGGCTCCGACGATTGCAATACTCGGAAAGAGGGAGCAAGGAAGGCTCGCAGGAGTAAGAACAAGGTGAGGTGGTGTCTCCCCTAAGTTATGTATATTCCTAATATATCGGTCTAGATCCCTTCGCTTGATCAAACTGATATTCAGGAGGTTGCACGCACCAAGGAAGCTCAAGGGCTCAAAATAGAAGAGGAGCTCCACCGCACCTTGATTGGCTCCTTCCGCATGCCCGCTTCGTCTCTCGACTTTCAATGGAGGGGAGCAGATACGACAAACCAGCGCAGGGTATCACCTGATCACGTCAAAAAAATGCTGATGCATTTTTACACAAGTGGACTAAAACGCTGCGCCAAAGAACACCACATAGCTGCCATCATTAGCCGACAGATGTTTGACGAAGCTGTGCAGACAACGGTCAGGGCCACGGGGATCAATCCTGTAAATGCCCAAACCATAAATGCCCAAACTAAACCCAGGGAGGAACCAGAAAAGGCCCTTCTAGGGCGCGTTACAGTGCCTCGGGCAGACTCCCAGGGCATGACCGAAAACGATCGGGTTCACGAGGCCAGTATTCGTTATCCATTCCTAGTTCTGCCTGCAGGTGTCACGGTGGAAGCCCAGTCTGGACAACACAGAATTCATGCGTTGCGGCAGCTCTTTACCGAGGAACTAGACAAGTGGTGGGTGATTGATTTATACGATGATTGTGAGTTCTCCGTGGTGTATACGCCGCCCTCAGCCACCTAGACAGCACTTCACTGATGATACACGGCTGTTCGGGTGGCTGGAGAAAGCGTCTACTGAGTTGTTAGTTCTCCTAACCCCTAACATTAAGTAGCAGTCAGCAATGCGGCCAAGGAGAAGCTACGGATGAATATTCTTGAGCTCCACAAAGCACCGACGCTTGCGGAGACCTGGGCAAACCTCCTGCTATACCAACGGGAAAATGACCAGAATGCCACAGACGCGACACTCGCTACCATGAGCTCGCCCACGAAGGTGAAGCAGCTACTATATTCTGATCAGTACCGGAATGCCATCACACAGGCCTTGCGCAACCGAGGGGTTTGGAAAAACTTTACCGGCGGGAGGTTTGGTGCATTCCTGCCGATGCGGTGTGTTGAGGAGAATGTTCGATATCTCACCCGTGTGGCGAAGATATGGGACTATATCGGCGAGGATATTCCGGGATTCCACGAATCCATTGATGAGATGACCCTGAAGTATCTGGAAGGCCTTGCTCCAGCACGCTTTGTTGAGGATGCAAGGGCGGTGGAGGAAGGCATGGAAAGCAACAAATGGTTTTTCAAGATTGCTGATAAGAAATACAGGTCCGTCATCAAATCAAGGTTGCAGAGCATCGACTACCGAATTCTCTCCTTGAATACCTTTTGGGAGGACATCAAATCGATGTCCTATTTTTCTCGGGTGATGGCCGATGTGGCCTTCTGGCTAACGGAAGAATTCTCTACCTCCGTCAGAGCAGGAGGTGCCGCCGCACATAGCCTAGCAGCTACGTTCCGAGTTGGCTTTCGGTCCGAAACTATCCACGCCCAGCTTACCATTTGTGGCGACACCCTAGTACCACTCAGGCTACCCGAAGGAAATCCTTTACCAGATAACGTTTACCGGGTACAAGCCTACAGGGAAGTTTGGCTTTTTGTGATACGCAATTTCTTCTCACTTCACAGAGCACTAGATCCCAGGCCAAACGATAGTGGTGTCGAGCCATTGCCTTGGGTCATTAGTGGGGTTTCGTTCACAGACGACATGTCACGGCCAAAGATCGAGGCATATAACAATCGCTTTTGCATTCCGGAGTGGAGGCAGCTTTGGGAGTTTTCCAAGACTCTAGGGTTCGACCCAGCTTACGCGGAGAGCATCGGCATCGGTCCACAACACTGCAAGCTCCCCACGATACCGGCGCGAAACCCCGAGGCTGCATCAAAGCTTAATGACATGAGACGACTGAGCGATGCTGTAACCTCCGTCCGGCCCAGTATGACTGCAGCAGGGGTTGCATCTTTGTGTGAAGACTTCTTCAAAAAGCTGCCCCCCTTGTCCGAAGATGAGCTGCAATCATTTGGAGAGGTATGCCCGCGGACTCAATCCCCTATCCGAAGGACCGGGTCCTTGGAGGGCGTCTGGCTGCCCGAGTTCCATCAGGAATACGACAAGATTGCTTACAACGTCATGATAGCTTACAACGTCATGGTGGCGTGCCAGACCACCTCCCTGGAAGAAGATGCTGCCCGCACTTCGTTATCCTGGTTCGTCAAAAGAGACTTTATCTGGAGCTTTCTCCACTCATTCCAGAGTCCTGGACCTATCTTTGCTCCAAGGGAAGGCCCCTGGCCCCCCCCGTCAAAACCCGTGAAATCAAAAGAGTGCATTGATCTCTCCGACGATGACGACCTACTAAGAGCCTATATGGATGACCCTAGCTTGTCCAGTGGTGGGGCGCGCGGGAAACGCGCCATGCAATCACCGCTCGCATCGATATCAGTCCCCACCTCGGTGGGAGGATCACCTCCCCTCGCCCCCCAGGCTTCTTCCGGTCCTACCTCTGCCTCTCCTGCTTCTCAGATCTCTGCTGCTCCCCCGGGTTTGCAAAACCCGTTCCTCGTCTAGTGAAAGGTGTTTTACTAACTAGTTTTCAGACCCCATTCCGCGACGCTTACCCCGAATTCAAGTTGCAGAGCCTGCAACCCCCCTTGAAGAGCCGCCGCTATTATACACGGATACCGAAGAGAAAACTCGGCGAAAGTCCCTGCCTAAAAAATTTCCCCTCCTCAGAAAGTCGAAGGCGAGCGGTAGCGCCGCTAATGTTGATCGAGAGGCCGAGAGGAGAAGACAACGAGCAGTATCTATTATCAAAGGCAGTAGTATGGGTAGGATACCTGATCAAGGCAAGTCTTCATTTTTACCCGAGGATGAGGAGGACGGGGAAAGATGTGAGTAGCGATGGCGAAACGCATTGGAAATTTCGTTTGGGAGGCGAGGGCCTACAATTAGTTAGGGTTTGCATTGAGAAGTTGGTTCCGTGTATATAGCCCATGACCTGGTTTCTAGAAATGACATGAAACAGGGGGAACCCTCCCCTTGTCGTGTGCTAAGAAAAACCCGTCATTGCTATTCACTACCTATGCGACTTGGCGAAAGATCCCAATAGCTACCGTACAGCGACAGGTAATAAGTGATGGAACGGCTGAGACACAGTGATACTTGTTTTGGGTAAACTGCTACTACTATACGGCGTTTGCAGGTATAACTGTATTTCAAGGCGTTCCATCACTTGTTACCCATCGCTGTACAGCAGCTACTGCATGTGGGAAAGGCCGCGGTAGCCACCGTACGGCAGCTACTACACGTGGGGAAAGGTCGCAGTAGCCACCGTACGGCAGCTGTTCCTTGAAGAAAACGTCGTAGGAGTCACCGTACGGCACCTGCGGGGCCAGGCGGAACATCGCAGTAGCCACCGTACGGCAGCTACTCCTACGAAGAAAATGTCGTAGAAGTCACCGTACGGCAGCTACTCCTACGAAGAAAATGTCGTAGAAGTCACCGTACGGCAGCTACTCCTACGAAGAAAATGTCATAGGAGTCGCTGTACGGCACCTGCGGGGCCAGGCGGAACATCCCAGCAGCCACCTTATAGCAACTACTACACTCGAGGAAAGGTCGCGGTAGCTACCGTACGGTAGCTGCTCCATTGAAGAAATGTCGTAGGAGTCACCGTACGGTAGCTATTCTTTGAAGAAAATGTCGCACGAGTCACCGTACGACGCCCTCAGGACCTGGCGGAATTACACCGCAGTAGCCACCGCACTGCATCTAGTGCTACGGGGAGAGGTAGTTAGGAGCCATCGTACGGCACCTCCACCTATCGGTGGAAACCACAGAGCAATTACCATACGTCAGCTTCTAACGATACAGTAGTGAGCACACGGCATCTGGCACTACGTAGAAAACGGGGTTGTAGCCACCGTACGTCGAGTACTCATCCGAGGTAAACGACCCACTGAGCACCGTATGGGAGCTTCCAATGTTCTTTCCCTTTTTTGGTCCGGTAGTATACTGTAGTAATACTCGACCGGGGGAACTGGCGCGTATCATCACGAGTCAAATAGATAATGCCAATTACAAAGTAAACAAGCTCGGATGAACAAGGGTGGACTAACAAATTGTTCGTGAACTATGATATTATAGTATATAAATAGATAAGATGCACAAAGCGCAGCGTGATTCATTGGAAGCTGTCAGGGTAAAGTTGGTGTGGGTTTACTAACAGATCCTGTTATCCCTCTTATCAGATTGAAGATCCCCCATACAAATTTCGACTCCATTGTTTCGAGGGGGGGAGGGGGCAGCACTGACAGAGTACGAGATATCACTTGCCAGAGGTGAGGAGGTAGGAGGGTGGGGTGGGGATGAACGCCCGAGAAAGGTGGCGGTCGTGATGGACGAGCTGGGGTTCCGGGAAGAGAAGAGGTGGAGTCTTTTAATGGGGTCGAGATGGGGTGATGGGTTTCGTTGAAGGGGATTTTAAACAGGCCTTTTCGTTTTTTTACCTTTAGTTTTTGATATTATAAGTTCTTTTTGTATGTTTTAATTAGATGCCTCTTTCAATAGTAATTTTAGGTTGACCCCTACTAGATCAACTGCCACCTCGACTAGTGCCAATACGCAGGCCTACCTTAACAAATCGCGTTATCACCCATATGCTGGCCCGTACGCCCGTATGCCCACAGTCCTATAAAAACCTGCAACGCACCCCACCGCCAGAGGACTGCTTGCACCGCCCCCACCACCACGAACGCCGGTAGCATGCACCTCCTGTAGCGCCTGCACCTGTCTGCACCAAATAAGAGGGGGTTGCAACAGTCTATATGCCACGAAGCGGACGCGTGATATTTCATGACCGAAATAAAGCGAGTGGTATTTCCTGATTTATACTCATTTCTGATGGGGTGAACTTAGGGTTAAGGTTAGCCCCCCATCCCCAAAAACACGGAGACCCTATAGTATGCAGCTCTACGTGCTGTACAGTCCCCTTTCCGACTTCTCCTTTGATATATAGGGGATGTACGGTTGACTTGCTTTTGCCTCCTAGAACAAGCGTCGTGAAGCGATTGTTTTACCTGTATGGATGCATTGCGTCCTAACCGAAAGCAAGTTTGCACCTGCAATACATACAAATTTGCAAGGTTTCACTACTTTCTCAGGTATAACTCCCACCTCCACAGCCTACACATTCATAGCCTGGGCTTGCACCACCACCTCTCTGACAACAAATCTAGGTCAGTAAAAAACAATGGAGTCATATATAATTAGCTGTCAATGGTGCACTAATCCCACTAATCTGAGCTCTCCATGCTCCCTGTCGTTTCCACCTACCATGGTTAATCAATCTCTGAGATGACCAATCATGCTTTGGTTATTCGGGTGATCTAAATACGATATATGCTGTAACCTAGTTCTGATTCCTTGGTCAGTGGCGAATGATATCAAATTTGACAGAATATACTGTGAGGATTCCCCCTTCATACCTCAGCTGTCGGTACCTTACCTGCTACTTTGATTACCACCTTCTGCTCGCATCTACTATTAGATTTAGATAACTTTACGAAAACCGATGTAGCAACCAAAGCAATGGCTAGATCGAGTCCAAATAGCTGTACAACGGAGATTTAATTGACATCTACTTGGTGCCAGATTGTGTACTAAATTACCCTGTATCGATAGCAAGTAGGCACCATATTGTACAATAACTCAAGTAACAAGTCGGAAACCGAATTTTTACAAAACTGCATCAAAACAAAGCTAAATTGTGGGGAGGGAGGCATTGAAGCCAGTACAAAAGAAAAACCATTTTTGGAGCAGCCAAACAAAAGTGTTCAGCCACCTAGGGTTAGTTAGGGTTAGTTAGGGTTAGTTAGGGTTAGTTAGGGTTAGTTAGGGTTAGTTAGTTAGGGTTAGTTAGGGTTAGTTAGGGTTAGGGTTAGTTAGGGTTAGTTAGGGTTAGTTAGGGTTAGTTAGGGTTAGTTAGGGTTAGTTAGGGTTAGTTAGGGTTAGTTAGGGTTAGTTAGGGTTAGTTAGGGTTAGTTAGGGTTAGTTAGGGTTAGGTTAGTTAGGGTTAGTTAGGGTTAGTTAGGGTTAGTTAGGGTTAGTTAGGGTTAGTTAGGGTTAGATTAGGTTAGTTAGTTAGTTAGTTAGGTTAGTTAGTTAGTTAGGGTTAGTTAGGGTTAGTTAGGGTTAGTTAGTTA